ATCCCAACCTAGGCCTGGCGGAAAGTTACCGTCACTCCAGGTGGTTGACCTTGAGCCTAGCCAAACGTGATCACCCGTAGCACCCAAGTAATTACAGCCTGATTTTTACTCCTTTATTTCCTTGTTAAGACCCATATAAGCTGGACCCCAGATCCAGTCCCACACACAACCTACATTCCCAGGAGCTTGTTGGGTCCCTAGATGTTATCCTTCAATAAACACTCTTCGCCTGTAGAAGATGGAGTCTAGCCCTTTTCCTTTCTTCTCCATTGTCCTAACTCCCTGCTGTCCCCAATTTGACAAGAAGGGTTCAGGTGGGGTGCCCTTTAAGCTCCAGAGCTAGGACCATGCTAGTCTTGCCTGAAGACCACATTCTTGCTGAGTTCTTTCCCTGCCCTGTCCTGATGCCCTATCTCCTTTTCTCCAGAAAATGCTTCATGTTCATTTCAGACTCTTCCAGGGACTCTCACCTCCTGTAATGGGCTATGCTGTATGCTGAATGAATTGTGGAGCTAAGGGTAATGTAGCACCATCTTCTATCTGGCTCTGCAGAGGGAAGTTAAGGCCTTGTTGGAGCTCTTTTTCCTGCTACTGCATATTCCAGGCTTCCCCCATCCCACCCCACCACTCCAGGCACATGCAGGCATAGACATATCCTTCTAACACCTTCTGCTTCTGAACTGCTCCCCACAGGGAGTGGATTTGGAGAGATTCTGTCCAACATTTAAATTTCATTATGGACTTTTTTTGTTTCAAGTAAGACCTAGAGAGGGGACACCTCTGCCTCATTCTACAATGACACAGAGCGGTGTCTGGTGGTCCCTTGGTATTTGCTCCTGATCTGGTCTGACCCTGGGAACTTCCAGGGCTCTGTGATGGAGAGCCAGCAGGGACCCCATTTGACAAGTTTGCCAGGTTTGGGCAGGACCAGCAGCCACACTGCCACATTTTAGCAGCAGCCACAATTTATCTTGGCAAGGTGAACTTCTAGGCTCAGCTCCAAAGAGGGGCCTGGGGAATGGCCCAGACCAACTGGCTTTTACCACAGAAGCCGATGCTGGCTGGACTTGAGCAAGTGCCAGCCCCAAAGTGGTAGCATCTTCCCCCATCCACCTGAAGGGGGACTCACCCCATTCTGGGTGAGTGCATGAGTGCATGAAGGTTTGGGGTACAGTTCATGGATGGAGTCTCAAGGGAGGTACATAAGGGAAGAGAATCAGAGCAGAGGGCTTTGCTGCTCCTCACTGGTCCCAAGGCAAGCCTTTAGGAACTGTGCTTGTGGAGGGGGTCTGGGGGTCCCTGAGGCTTCTGCCACCCAAAGCCAAGAGCACATTTGAGCAGATTTTAGTCTCAGGCTGACAGATGAGGGAGGAGAGGCTTTGGAGAACCAAGATGCTGGATGCTGGGCCCCAAAGGAACAACAAACCTGCTCTTGGATGGCATTTTCCTTTTCCCCTTTTAAATAGTTGGCTCCCTCTTTCCCAACAAATAAAATCATTTAAAAGGAATGGATAAAAACAGTCATGTTTCTGTTCCTGCCCTGCTGGGAAGCTACTTCTGTATCTTTGGAGTTATGAAATCTCTTCCACTCTGCAGAGTCTGTGGGGAATCTGCACCCAACACCTTCTTACTTCCTACTTCCCTTCCAGCTCTGAACCCAAAGCCCTCCCAGACCCATCGAGTTGACATTCCATGCTCCTCTGCCAAGGTTGAAATAAGGCAGGGGGTCTAGACAGCTCACTTTGTAAACTGAATGAAGGAAAGAGCTTCTAGAAAAATCAATTCAAAAGGGCTCTTCTGGATTGTTTGTGTGTGTGTGTGTTGATCCTAGGGCTTGAACTCAGAGCCTGGGTGCTGTCCCTAAGCTTTTTCACTCAAGGCTGGTGCTCTACCACTTGAGCCACAACTCTACTGGCTTTATGGTGGTTAACTGGAGATACGATTTTCATGGACTTTCCTGCCTAGTCTGGCTTCAGGCCATGATCTTCACCCCCCAGCCTTCTGAGTAGCAGGATTACAGGAGTGAGCCCCTAGCCCCCAGTATCTTCTGGATTTTCACTAATAAAGAGGACCCATAGCTAAGAGGTTGAGCTAGGTTAGAGGTGAATGGCTAACAACAGGTTAGACTCAGGTAGAATGACTTAGTGAGAGAGTAATTTGTATTTGTTCTTGTCTTTTTTCCTCACTTGTTCCTAGGAAGTAGCAGAAGCCAGCATGGCAGGAAGAAGTACTGAGGTGGTTGGTTTCTAGATCTGTTCTTTAATTTTATTTTTTATTTTTGGTCAGTCGTGGGGCCTGAACTCAGCCTGGGCACTGTCCCTCAGCTCTTCAGCTCAAGGCTAGAGCTCTACCACTTGAGCCACAGGCCCACTTCTGGCTTTTTCTGCTTATGTGGTGCTGAGGAATCCAACCCAGGGCCTCATGCATGCAAGGCAAGCACTCTACCACTGAGCCACCTTCTCAGCCCCTTATTTTTTATTTTGTTTCCCAGATGTCTAGCTTCTGAGGACCCATGGGCACCTTCTGCAAGAGTTAGGTCTCTGGGGAAAACAGCCCCTCTCCCCCTTCCTCTTCATTTGCCTGAAACCAGTAGTCAGCTGACTGTCTATCACTTGACTGTGCGCAGTGGATCCCAGGCTCTGAAGTCACTTCCTCATCTGCTGAGGTTATCTCCTGAGCCACCCCAGTCACACCTCCTTCAGACAGTGAGAGGTTCTCCAGGCTCTGAGATCCCTTCCACATCTGCTGTGCTCCCGCCTCCCCTTTCCCTATATAATCTGGCTCGACATGAGTCCCCTCCTCTCTCTTTTTCCTTCCCCTCCATCTCCATGGGCCTCCATTTTGTGTGGGCTGAATTATATGGCAATTTCCTTTCTGGTGAACTTTACAGTACAGATCGAAGAGAGGGACAAAATAGGCTATTTGTTAACAACTGAGATACCTTGCATATAGGACATATGGTATATGGTAGTCTACTGTCAAACATGTAATTAGTTAATGCAAAGATTTCTTATCAGACACATAATTAATATTATTCATCACACTGAAAGAATAATGGAGAAAGTCATTTGATTATGCAGAAAAACATTTCAGAGAATTTGGAATCTAGTCACAAACATTTAGAAAATTAGCAACTGAAGCACATAGTAAACCAAACATGATGTCTACTGGTGAATTACTAAAAGCCTGCCATCCAGGATCAAGCACAAAACCCTATTTTCACCAGTTCTATTCAATATTATATTGAACAATAGGCAAGAGAAGTTGATCAAAATAAAATAAAAAATAAAACTCTTTGTAGATGACAAAATTGTGTATTTAAAAAACATACATGGAAGTGGCAGCACAAGTGGTAGAATGCCAGCCTTGGGCACAAAGAGGCTCAAGGACAGTGCCTAGGCTCTGAGTTCAAGCCCCAGGACTGGCAAAAAGGAAAAAAAAGCAAAAAAAAAAAAAAAAAAAAGGAAACATACACTTAACATCTGTGGACAAAACATTACTATAATCAACCTAAGCAAAGTTACTAGCTCCAATATTATGATACAAAAACATTTATCTATTTATTTAGCAAGTCTTGGGCTTGAACTCAGGGCCTGGGCATTGTCACTGAGCTATTTTTCTCAAAACTAGTACTTTACCACTTGAGCCACAGCTCCACTTCTGGCTTTTTGGTGTTTAATTGGAAATAAGAATCTCATGGACTTTCCTGCCTGGGCTGTCTTTGAATGCAATCCTCAGATCACAACTTCTTAAGTAGCTAGGATTACAGAACAGAGGCGGGGAGAGGAGGAAGAAAAAGAGAAGAGGAGGGGGGGGGAGGAGGAGGAGGAGGAGGAGGAGGAGGAGGAGGAGGAGGAGAGAGGGGAGAAGAGTGTTGAGTTGGCTTATGGTTCAAGCAGTGTTTTGAAACCTTTGAGGTCAGATATAATGTCTCATTTTAAACTGCTCATAGCATTTGACTGCCCCCAGTACCAAAACGTGACTGCTGTCCAGTTAGCTTTTGTGACTAATGTAGAGTTCTGCAGAAGCACAGCCTGAGCAGGCCCTGGGGAGGGGGAATTGCTGGGAATTGAAGCTGAGTGGAACACGGCAAGGATAGACAAGCCTTGGTGCTCTTGTAGAACAGGCTGCAAGCAGGAAGTAAAGGGGAGACCAAAGCAAGCACTGAATAGGGCGAGCTGTTCAGAGGCAGGAAATTCCTCTATCATGGGTCCTAGATGATACAACACCAGAGAAGAAAGTGGGCAGTTTGGAATGGCAGGAACGGCCCATCTTTCTTGGCAAGGTTGTTTGTTAAGCAGGCTGCAAAGCTCAGGGTAAATGGATTGAAAAGGACAATGTTTCCGAAGGCCAGAGCCAGGGCTGACAGGAAGTATGTCTCTGAAGGACAACTAGGATTCTTCTGGGAGTAGGGGAGGATGAATGGCCCAGGAATCTTCTTTCTTTATTCCCCTCTTCTCAAACTCTGAAGCAAGAAAGCCAGAAAGGGCCTGGGCATAGGGAGGAGGAGTTGGAATGTGGCTTGGAGGAGCAGCCTGGGAGCTAAAGGCTGCCCCACCTACACCAGGTAAGTCCTCTCACTCAGGGCCTCTGCCTCCAGGTAGCATGTGCTAGGCTCCATCTTGGTTCAGTATCATTCTGACAACCCTCACCTTGATCTTGGCTAGCCAGTGGAGGGAATGAGTCCTTAGTGGTCTGACTGTGTCCCAGGCAGAGCTTGTAGGGCACAGCTCATCTCCTTGGTCCTCAGGCTAACCTGTTCCATGCCTTCCCGTGTCCTTCCCCACCCCCAAGAGCAAGCATGGGCAGGGACTATTGCTCAACACATCTCTGAGGTCCTTTAAAAAGCCCAAGGTGCAAGAACAGTGCCCAGGGATATGATTCAGAGGGTTTCCATGAAAACTTCAGAACCACTGAGAAAATCAGACCCACACCAAGGAAGCAGGCAAGAGAAGCCAGGTGGCCACCTGAATCTGGTTTATTGTTCCAGTTTCTCCAAACTTAGCAGAACGGTGGATGAAGCCACTTGGGGGGGGGGCAGCCAGGCCGTTCAGTGGGGCCAGCCAGTCAATGTATGTGGAGAGTCATAGTTCATCCACTGGAGTAAGACTCAAAATTCAGGAGACCTGGAACCCCCTCTTCACATCCTCCATGCCAAAGTCCCCAGGAGAGGCAGGATGTGGCAAGCATGGGTGTGCAGGCCTCAGAGGAGGTAGGGGCAGCACAGCCGTAGGGTCCGACAGCTGTGGAAAGCTCCATGGGAGCCTGGCTGGGGCCTCCGGAGGCTGCTGGGCCCCGCCCTGTTCACTGGAGAGAAGTTGGGATGCTGGGCCGGTTGAGATGGGTCAGATGCAAATAGGACCTTTCTAGGTCACCTCTCCCTGAGCTGTGCTATTTCCCATGGTCCCCAACCTCTGCTTTCCCCACTGGCATCCATCTCTTCCAGAGGAACTGACCCAGTGAGTGAAGCCCAGCACCCCGGCACCTCCCTGGCATGCTCTCTTGCCAAGAGCGTTAGCACAGTGTTGGGGTTTTCAACCAGCCCCAAGAAAGGGAGGTGAGGGAAACCCGTGGGGCTGAGGAGGGCTTGAGCACAGGGGTGGGAAGGCCTTCCCTGCTCAGCTCAGGGATTGAGGTCTGCCCACAGTCCTGTATCTCTTTGTGCTGCTATCCAGGGTATGAGTGCAAATCCCAGAGGGGCCTCCAGTCCGGGCTCAGTGGGGGCAACACCTGTGGACCTGATGGGGAGAAAGGGGGAGAGATGGTCCTGGAGGAAGACTGGCTATAAGGGATAGGAAGCCACTGTCCTCCTCCAGGTCAGCTTGAGCCACTAGGGTGGGTTTTGTGCCCTGGCTAGTTGTATAGTGGGTCCTGAAAAGGGAGACCTGGACCCAGTTCCCCATCCCTACTAAGGCCTTTGAGACAGAAAACCCATCCCAATCAGCAGAAGAGGCAAGAGCCAGCCAGGTACCTACCGTCATTAGGAGTATGCCAGACCCTGGAGCCCCCGGGCTGGAGAGTGGAACTTGTCAGAATCCTCAAAAGACTGGTCTGCGGTCATCAAGGAGAAAGGGGCCCTAAGCCCTGTGCAGCTGGGTGACCTTACCTGTCTGTCTCTCTCTGCGCTAGAAACAGTAGGCAGAGCATACAGCATTTCTTACAGGCTATCAGCCACCCCTAGCCTTGGTCTGGGGCCAACACAGCAGATGGAAAAGTGAAAGGTACCCCTCCAGGCTTCTCAGTCCACATCTTTCTTTTTTCTCTGGTCCTGGGGCTTGAACTCAGGGCCTGGGCACTGTCCCTGAGCTTCTTTTGCTCAAGGCTGGCACTCTACCACTTGAGCCACAGCATCACTTTCAGCTTTTTCTGAGTAGTTTATTGGAGCAAAGAGTATCATGGCCTTTCCTGCCTAGAATGGCTTTGAACCACCACCTTCAAATCTCAGCCTCCTGAGTAGGATTAAAGGTGGCACCTGGCTCAGCTCACATTTTTTTTCTTCCCTCTGTGCCTTGGACACCAGGCTTATTTTCTTCAGAAGGCCTGGCTCAAGGTAAGGAAGCAGATGACCAAGGACTAAGTAAGGAGAGAGGCCAGCCTCTGATCATTGACACATGTGCACAGCAGCAGCCTCCTGTGTGCCGTCCACATGTGTGAACTAAATGTATTGCCTCACCACTTCCCAGACCTGCCTAGCCCACTCTTTGCCTCCCAGGGCTGGCAGAAATCACACACACACACACACACACACACACACACACACACACACACACACACACACACACACACACACACACACACACACACACACACACACACACACACACACACACACACACACACACACACACACACACACACACACACACACACGCGTGTGCTGCCCTCTGGTGGACACAGGAAGAAGGCATGCACTCCATGTGAGTTCCTCCAGCTCTGAGATAAAAGTTGAGTCTCTTCTCTGGATGTGAGCTACCTAGGATGGTTTCCAGGCCTTCTCATTCTGGGATCTCAGTTTCTTTCCCCTTGGCCAGATGAGAGTGTCTAGAGAGAGTCTGGCACTTCTAGCTGTGAGGCCCAGGAAGTGGCATCCAGATGGGCTTTCCCTAGACCCCTTGCATGGGGCCACCGGTGAGAGATAGACAAGAGTAGGGCCCACAAGGGCACTTTTCCGGCCACTATGATGCAGCATGGATGGCTCACCTGTAAGCCCCTCTCCGTGGGCTCTGGGACAAGCCTGGGGTGGGGAGCTGGGTGGGCGCAGCACAGGGGCGAAGGCGCTCCTCTGTTTGACAGCGGAGATCATGTTGACAGGCGAGAAGGAGAAGACGCTGGTGGTAGGGGCAGCAGCCGGGAGGGACATGGAGGAGGCAGCCGCCAGCGGGGGGCTAGAGGGCATGACTCCGGGTCGGGGCGGGGAGGGGCAGGCGCAGCAGGGAGGGTGGTAGGAGACACAACAGGGAGACAGCACCAGAGTGAGCAGCGAGGTTGGAGTTCTGCATGGGGCAGCGGGCCCCTTATGGGCTGCTGACCACACTCCAGGCTCAGATCTCTCTGGGGGAGGTCTTGGGTCAGCCCTTGCCATTTTGGGGAGCTCTGAAGGCTGAAGATGACAGGGTCAGACCAGGTGGAAACTAGACAGTAGGGAAAGCCCTATCTCATAAGAGATGGTCTTGAGATGAGTAGCTTGAGATTCCTGCTGAAAACCACTAGGATTCGGAGGTGCAAATATACATTTAGGGCCCTGGGTTGCCAGAGCTAGAGTGAACTTTCAGGGGTCATGACAGCAAGAGTGATAAGTCAGGGATGAAGTTTAGGGGCACATATAAGTTTCTGTTAAAAAGTTTCTCTGCCAAGGCCCATACAAGCACCCAAATTTGTCCACAAATATGCTCTCCTCCCCAATACCCCTTGTTAAAGGTCTGTCTCTCTGCTTCCCTTCCTAGGATACTTGCCAGCTTATTGCTATCTCTGTCATCTCCATTCTAGACCATGAAGACTTACATCTCTCACCTCTAGCTGGCTAATTCTAAAGAAAAGCAAGGATGCTATAATGTCAAAACTTGCTATTATCCAATTCTATAGCCATTCAGGGCCTCAGCTTGCCTTGCTGGGAATAGCAAGAGAACTTTGTGTATACATGTTTACCTGTGCCATCTCCTGGAGGCTTTAGGCCTCACTCTAACTTTGATACAATGATGCCATCAACAGCTTCCAAAAATGTCTTCAGCCTATGGTCACCATCTCCTTTAAGATAATTTACTAGTAGCTGGTGAGGTCATAGAACCCCATGGAGCACTTGAAATCAATACTAGAAAATGTACTACATTTTCCAAGGGCAGAGGTGAACACATATTTTGTAGCTTGGGTAGTAATGGGCATGATGGGTCATTCTAGGGTTGCTGATGGCTGATGCAGAGGACCAAGTGGAGACTCCGGCAGATAGTCCCAGGCTTCTGGCTGGGGCAGTTCTAGCACTGTTTAGGAATGTTCTGGGAAAGTCAATGGAGAAGATACCCCATATAGTTGTGTCCAAGCATCCCGCACTGAGCAGTGGATGGGAAACTGGGTAGGTATTTGCCAAGACAGTATCATGAGGTGGGGCTGGCCTCTGAACATGTCCATGGTGTCCTGGCTGAGACTGGATGTAGAGCTTAGGTAGCTCTGGAATTCTTGTTCTTGCTGCATGGGGAGACCGGGGGCGGTCTGGCTTCTATCCCTGGGTCAGTACCTTCCTCCACTGTGTATATAGGAAGAAGTCTGGGGGCAGGGGAGATTCGAATCCCAGCGAAAACTAGGAAGAGGCTGGAAGTGAAACAATAGAACCCAGCCAGAGCAAAGGGTGGGGCAGGAGAGCCATTGGGAGGGACATGGCAGGACTCTACCCCGTGTAGACTCTGGTTGATGGATCTTTGGATGGGTCTCCAGAGGGATATGCCAAGTTGAAAACCCTAGCCAGAAAGAACAGCACCCAGGATACAGGACCCTGGGAAGGAAAGTTAGGCAGGTCTGTTTTCAACAATGCAAACAGGATAAGTAAGGGAGAAGTGAGTGACCTGTAGACACAACAACCTGCTTCCTCGTACACAGCTGTCACTACTTTTGGTCTTTGAAGACTCCCGGACTTTGAGGGACACCCTCACCTGTGACTGATAGGGAGGCTTCTTGCCAGTGAGCAAGGGCAGAGCAATCTCCAAGCTCAGTGCATTGTAACACCATAGGCACACAACCAATGCCTGATGAGTTTCCATTGGAATTGCAAAGTACTGGAGGACCATGCAAAACATAAAACTATCTTTGGATGTCACTCACCCATGACATCAAGATGCCATCTATGTAGGTTTTTTTCTTTTGGGGGGGGGGTCATATGGCTTGAACTCAGGGCCTAGTTGCTGCCCCTGAGCTCTTTGGCTCAATGCTAATGCTCCACCACTTTGTGCCACAGCTCCATTTCCGGGTTTCTGGTGGTTAATTGGAGATAAAGTGTCTCAACAGCCTTTCCTGACGGGGCTGGCTTTGAACTGTGATCCTCAGATCTCAGCCTCCTGACTAGCTAGGATTACAGGTGTGAGCCACCAGCATATGGCTGCCAATTTGTAGTTCTGATCTGCCCTCCCCCAAGAAGTCAGAGGGAGGTTTCCACCTACAGTGGAGGCTGGGCCTTCCCAACAATACATTCCTCCTGCATTTTGTCTGCCTCTTTATGCACAGCAGCACGTCCAGATCTGAGACCCGCCTCAGGCAGGGGATGGAATTCATCCTTTCTTTTACTTTAGAAACTAAAGTTCAAAGAAGTAACTTGCTGAGTGTCAGACAGCTCCTGATCTGGGCACTCCAATTCTGAATACGGGTCTGACCACCCAGAACTTGCCCCTTGAGCCTGACTCCCCTACTGAGGAGGGCAGTCCTATCTACCACCGCCCACCTGGCATCGTCTGAGATTGCTGGGGGCGCGTGGGGGACCAGCAGGAGCCCTGAGTTTCCTGAAGCGCCCGGGAGGGGGCGCCAGTCTCCTTCCGAAGTCCCAGCGAAAACCCGAAAGGTGGCACCGGGTTTCAGCCCAGGTGCCCCGCAATTAAAGCAGGCTTCGGGAGGGCGCGCGGGCTAGAGGCGACGTGTGAAGGTGCAGTCAGCAAAGGAAGCTGAAGGTGCTAGAGAGCGTTTGGCCGTAAAACCCGGGACCGCCTGAGGTCCGGCGGCAGGGACAGGTCCCATGGCGCCCCGATGAGGCTGGCATTGATGTCCCCCCCCCCCCCCCCGGCGTCCCCACGGCCCGGGTCCCGTTCGACCTCCCCAGGCCTCGGGTCTCCCTCCCCGCGGGCGGGGGAACACTCACTAGCGAAGGGCGAGGTGGCGGTGGAGCCATTGAGGAAGCTAGGGGACGCGGGCACGCCAAGGCCGGCCACCCCCGGCGTGCCGTAGCCGCCGATGCCGGCTCCAAGCCCACTCCCGTAGCTGCTCTGCTGCGAGCCGGGGCTGGGCGCGAACCCGCGGGGGGACGTGCTGCTGCAGCTGCGGGCGTAGCCTGCGGGAGACCGGACATCAGCGGAGAGGCACTGGTAGAGATGGGGTCCGTCCAGGCGCCCCCAAAGCTTGCAAGGCGCGGAGCGGAGGGGCGGGGCGGGCGAGACGCACCGGGCTCGGGCCCCGGCGTGGCGTCCCCGACGGCGATGGCCAGCGGGCTGCTGAAGGCGTTGATGCCCACCATGGCGGGGTGCGCGTGGCTGGGCGCCAGCGGTCCGAGCGGCGCGGGCGCGCGGGGGGCGCTGTACAGAGCCTCGGCCACGTCGGCCGCGCGCTTCAGGAGGAGCTCCTGCGAAGACGAGAGCAGGGCAGGGCGGGCACAGGCGCGGGCACCGGGCGCGGGGGGCGGCCCCGGGCCGGGCGGGCGCGGCGCTGGGAGGCGGGCGCAGGCGGCCTCATACCTGGTTACTGCTGGGCATTCCGTACAGGGCCTCCGCCAAGTCGGCCGCCCGCTTCAGCAGCACTTCCTGAGGGCGGGGGGAGGAGGCAGCGCGACGGAGGGACGGCCCTTGGGGAGCCCCTCCTCGCCAGTGACGCACGGGACCCCCGCATTCCCAATCCCATCCCTCTCTCGAGTACCTTGGGCAGCCTCTCCGGGTCTCCGGGGTGTCTGGGAATGACTTTCTGTAGCCTCTGGAATCCGTAGTCGATGGTGGGTTCGTTCAGGGCTGGGGAGAGGGGAAGGTGACGTTTGGAGCACGCCCACACCCAGATCAGGATTCAAGACATAAAACATGCAAGCTACCAGTCCAGAAAGTTCCCTGCGGGCCTCCCTGTGGGTGGCCTAAGTCCTTGTGTATTCTTTCACTCAGCAAGTATTTACCTATCTAGGCTTTGTGCCAGGCTCTTAGCATCAGAACACATGCATTGTACAATCCTTCTACAATTCAGGGGAAAAAAGGAAACTGAGGCCAGAAGTGATGCACACCTGTAATTCCAGCACTGGAGAGGTAGGAGGCAGGGCAATCCTGAGTCATAGCCTGGATTACAAAAGGAGACTGTCTCCTACACCGCACTTACCCCAAAGATTTTCAAGCTTTTATATTTTCTAGTGGAAAGGCTCTAAGGACAATTTTCTATTTGCATTTGGTCACATCAAACTACTACTACTACTACTATTTCTGTTTATAGCTGGGTGCGGTGGCTCACTTCTGTAATCCTAGCTACTTAGGAGGCTGAGTGAGGATGGTAATTCAAAGCCAGCTCAGCCAGGAAGTCCATGAAACTCCAATTAGCCAGCAAAAAACCCAGAAGTGTCCAGTCACTGGTGGCTCACGCCTGTAATCCTAGCCACTCAGGAGGCTGAGATCTGAGGATCGCGGTTCAAAGCCACCCTGGGCAGGAAAGTCCATGAGACTCTTATGGCCCATAAACCACTCAGAAAACCAGAAGTGGCGCTGTGGCTCAAGGGGTAGAGCTCTAGCCTTGAGCTGAAGAGCTGAGGGACAGCGCCCAGGTCCAGAGTTCAAGCCCCACAACTGACAAAAAAAATCAACAACAAACAAGCAGAAGTGGAGCTGTGGGTTAAGTGGCAGAGCACTCAACAACCTTACACAATAAAGTTATGGTACAGCACCTAGGCTTTTTCAAGCCTCAGTACTGGCACACACACACACACACACACACACACACACACACACAGAGGTTCTGTTTATTATGGTTTGGATGTACTGTCCACTGTATCTATGACCATTAGAGGTTTGCATGCACCCCATGCACAAAGGCTGACGACCACCTAAGGACTTACTGCCACCTAGGGTTGGAGGATGCAGCAGACTGGAAGGGCTCCCCTGCCCTTCCCTTCTCCCTGCCTTGCCCCTCCTCTTCCTGATTTGGTCCCTCCCTCCCCATCTAACCTACCAGTCTCAAAGCTCTCCTTCCTCTCTTTCCAATTCCAGATGTAGTGAATTTCCTTTAGTTTTCCTAATAGCACAAAGCCTTCCCTTCCTAGGTTTTACATGGGCCAATCCTTCTCTCATGACCTCCTTTCCTTTCTGCCATCTATCTACACTCTGTGACCAAGGTTTTCAAGGGAGGATCAAACTGTCTATCAACGGTGTAACCTCACCTACCTACCTACCCATGCCACCATGCTCAACCTTCCCAGGATAGACCAGAGCCCCACTAAGCTATCTGTGAAAGTGGTGGTGTGGCAGTGAGAAGCCAGGGCTTGGGCTAGAGGAGTCTACCATACATCTCCCCATGTTTTGCTTTGGTGTCATGCAAGAGTGTGTGTGTGTGTGGGGTGCACAGAGCTAGGCCCGGGAGACCCAAGACCCTTGAAAGATTTGGGGAGCAAATGCTCATTGGGGGCATCCTTGAAATAAACATACTCCTGGAGTGGCTCTAGACCCTGAAGGGGGAAAACATCCTAGTGAGAAGGAAGGCCTAAAGCAGAGAGAATGTTCCAGAAACATCTGAGGAGCCAGAGGCGAAAGGAAGGAAACAGAAGGCTAGGGAAAGAAGGATGGTGCTAGGAGTTGCTGTGTAGTACAGGCAGGAATGGCTTGGAAGGGCGTGGCCTCTGCCTGGGCGTGGCTTGGGTGTCTGGGCGTGGCCACCCGGTAGACATTCACGTTTGCACTTACTCTCTAGGCACTTACTCTCCTGACCTTGGGCTTTCCCTCCGCCACCCGATTTCTTACCTGTGTAGACAAAGCGGCCGGGGGCTCCCTTGCAAAATTGCTTGGACTTGTAGGAGAGGGTCACCTCCACTACCCCAGGGATGTGTCGCGGGGGTGTCTGCACCCGGATGGCGTGGGGCGTGATGAGCTGCGAGGGGAGAGGGGAGGCCTGCAGGTCCCGTCCCGTGGGAAGGGCCCAGCCCCGAGGCCCGGAGGGAGACGGGCGGGGGTGGCCCACCTCGCTCCACACGAGCACGTTTCCGAACACGACCTGCAACCCGTCGAAGAAGTTGTCGCCGATGACAATCACAGTGGCGCCTCCCGTAGTCCAGCCCTCCCCGGGGCTGATGGCCTTGATGCAGGGGGTGGCAGCTGGGAGGCAGGAGAGGACCCAGGTCAGGGGACCGCGCCAAGGGGGGACCAGGGGCTGGCCAGGGCTGGGCTGGAGGGCCTGACCTTCGGAGGGGTCCAGGCGGCGGGCCCTGCGGCCGTGCTTGGAGTTGTTATGCACAAACATGTTGTCAGACACCGCCAGCACGTGCCCATCCACGCTCACAGTCGTGGACACCACCACCTGTGGGGAGAGCCAAGGCTAGTTTGGAAAGGGCCTGGGGGAAGGGACTGTGGTGGGGAGGTGGCAACCTGAGGTGGGTGTCAGGATGCCGGAATTCAAGGTCCCTGAGTGGAGAGAGGGGGCTTCAGCTCCTCAGGTTGGAGCGGTGAGATTAGGATCAGGTCCCACCCCCAGATGAACTGACTCCTAGGAGCTAGAAAAATTCAAAGCTATGAGAAAACCAACCAACACAGAAACAAGAAGTACCTCTGGCTTCTTGGGCAAAAAGGGTTTCCTGTCCTTGCACTGGACGCCCAGCCCCTATCCATAGTGCATGCACACACAGGGGAACTCTAGAACCCATCAGCAAGCTCTGAGAAGGAAGCTGGGGCTGCCTTCTCCCACTATCCCCCTGTGCTGGGAGGGGTGTGTGTGTGTGTGTGTGTGTGTGTGTGTGTGCAGGTTGGGGATGTGCTAGGGGCAGCTGTTCTGTGCTTCACACTATGCAAATTACCTGGGTCGTTAATCATGTAAAAATGTCACAATTAGCATCTTCTTAAGTGGGACTTTAATGAAGCCTCCCTTGGCAGCCAGCTTAAGTTGAGATGGAGCTGCCCCACCCCCAGCAGGCACCAGGCCCTGGATGGCACAGGGCTGGGCAGAGGCCTGCCTTGGCAGAGCCACAACCTGCCCTCCCCCCCTCCTATCAGGCAAGGATGGGTTTGCCAAGGGAGCCTCTCCCCAAACCCACCTGGAAGCGGCGCATGTCTCTGGGATTCCCTGCGTTCTTCAGGCAGTTCTGGTTGCATTTGAGGAAGAATTTGAGGAAGAACCTGAAACAGTGAGGTTGGTGGGCTTGAGAGTCTGAGGGTTCTAGAAACAGATGGAGATGCCCCTTTGTGGCAGGGTGCCTCCCCACTGTTTGCTCGTGTATAAGTGCACACCACCATATTTCCAGCATGAGCCACACCTACACAGGATGCCTGATGCAGGCTAGCCTCTTCATAAGGACTTTCTCACTCCATAGAATACTTTCCATAGACACTCTGCGGGCAGCCACACAGTGTGTATAGCATGTGCTTACCACACCCCTTCAACATATACTCATCGCAAAGAGGATGCCCATTATACGCAGTAGATGGACCTTTCCCTTGTAAATTGCCTGACACAATACAGACCCCACCACACAACTGATTATACTCTCTCTGCATACAACAGGAATTTACTACACCAACCCAGTGTAAATGTAACACCCTGGAGACCTGCCCCTGTTGATACCCATTACACATAGAACATCTGTCACATAGCATTCCTCTTCCCCAGAGGAGGCTCATTCCACCACCTACACGTGTACTCAGTACAAATGTTATATCCTCTGTAGCCACTGCACGTGCCATATACTCTTACAAGAGATAGCTGTCACACAGGTGTGTACTGTGTGCTGTATCTATGGCTTAACTCATCACACAGTGATTCTTACCTGCCATGCACAGTGTAAATGTGTACTACAGAGTGTATGTACAGGAAGAATATGGAACATGGTATATACATTAGTATGCATGTTGTTATATATGATTATCCAAAACACAGTCATTGCATACCCCATGTAGGAGAGCCCTCTAGCACCCATTCTATACCCTTGTACACTTTCACAACCTAATCACACGCAGCACATACCTGCCAAAGACACACTGAACAGATACCCATGACCATTTTCTTTTTCACATACCATCATTGGAGAAAAGCCCCAGGATAGGTTGTAATGAGGCCACCTTATATACAAACCAACAAGCTCTTGGTCCTCCAATTCAGGAAGACAATCACCAACAGAGTTTCTGGTGGTTATGCACTTGGTAAACTCAGATCACTGTCAATGTCTACCTTAGCCTTCATGGGAGTCTGTGGGTATCTGAGCGAATGCCCTTTACAATTATAGAGGGCCAGGCCAAAGTCTGTGGCTGGTCCTGGCCTGTGGCGCAGACTCCTGGGCCACTGTATGGGCTCCCATGGTCAGCTTTCTTTTATTACCCCACCTCTGGGAGGTGTGTGTGTGTGTGTGTATGTGTGTGTGTGTGTGTGTGAGAGAGAGAGAGAGAGAGAGAGTGTGTGTGTGTGTATATGTGTGTGTGCTGGTCCTAGGACTTGAACTCAGGGCCTGGATGCTATTCCTGAGCTTTTGTGCTTAAGGCTAGCTCTCGACCACTTTGAGCCACAGTTCCACTTCCTGTTTTTTATTGTTTTGGTGGTTAATTGGAGATAAGAGTCTCGACATTCCTGCCTGGGCTGGCTTCAAACTATGATCCTCAGATCTCAGACTCCTGAGGAGCTAGAATTATAGGCATGAGCCACTGGCACCAGGTGGTGTGTGTGTGTGTGTGTGTGTGTGTGTATGTGTGTGTGTGTGTGTGTGTGTGTGTGTGTGTGTGTGTACCATACTACTTATACTAAACAATAGGCAAGTTCTAAAACCAGGAGGAGAGCCTTAAGTACAAGTACCATATACAGTAACTATGCCTGTGTTATTTGTACACCCATACTTGAACATCCATTTAATTCCCCAGCATTACTTCCAAAGTCTGCAAACACAAACTTCCTATTCAGAGGAAGCTTTAGTAAGCTTAGTCCCCAAAGGGAGCTCTTCCAGTACTGGAAAAGATTGGGTACCAGCCATGAAACAGAGCTGTCCCCAGGGAAGCCTCTTATGAGGAGCTGGTGACAACCACTTTCTTGGAGGTACAGCTCCCCTGGGGCCCTGCCTCTGTCCACTGTAGACACCGTGCAGTGTCATCTGTCAGACTCACCACTCCCAATGGGCACCCCCCTGGAGGACCCTTTATTTACTTTTCCACAGAGCTTTCACAGTAGCACATCTTTTTATCCACAGTGGTCACCCCTCAGAAAACACTTTCACATATCTATCAGATACACACAAAGGCCTCTGGGGTACAGAAAAGTTAGGGACGTGTGTGCAGATAAGAGCAGGTGCTATCCTTGAGCTTTTTTGGCTCAAGGCTAGTGTTCTACCATTTGAGCCATAGCATCACTTTTGGCTCTTTGGTGGTTAATTGGAGATAAGAGTCTCATGGACCTTCCTGCCCAGGCTGGCTTTAAACTGATACTTAGATCTCAGCCTCTTAAGTAGCTAGGCTTACAGGCATCAGCCACCAACACCCAGCTTTGCTGGGTATATTTTAAATGGAGTCTTGTGGTATTTTCTGTCCAGGACGGCCTTGAACTGTAGTCCTCGAGATCTCAGCCTCCTGAGTAGGTAGAATTACAGGCATGAGCACAGGCACCTGGCTTTTAAAAAAAATTTCAATAACAACAGCTTAAATGAAATTAAAGAGAGCCTTCCTCATCAATGGAGTATTCCTTGCCAAAGCAAATGCTGGGCTAGATATGACTCAAGGGCAAACACTAGACTCACACATAGCCTCTCAGGAGTGTCAATACTGCCTCAGGAACACACCTTCAGCACACTGCTTTAAGCAGCAGATGGAAAATGTGGAGGCAATGACTGAACTTGGGGCTTGCCATGGGTGGAAAGCTGAGCGAGATGAGCTGTTCTTGCTGAAGCCAGTGTTCTGGGGTCATACAGCAGGGTGGTGCCTGCCTGAATCCCAGCATCCCCCAGCTGCTGTGAGGCTTGCCTGCTGAAGGACTTGGAGCTGAGTAACTATCTGAAAATTACTCCCAATGGGAAGCAAATCCCCTCTAGCAGCAGCCCACAGCTAATGACAGACTGATGTCACACAGGAGGACCGATTGCTGGGCCATTCATACTCTGTACTGGCAAGCTAGACCTTCCTCTCCAGCTCCCTCTCTGCCCTAGCAGGCCTCCCTCACTTCTTTCCTCTCAAGAGCTGTCTTCCAATAACCCACATCACAAGAATCTCCATCGCAGGCCCTCCTAGGAATCCCAGGGTCAGAAACCAAGTCACACAGCTAAAGCTTATCACTGCCATTTTCCTCCCTGGCTCCCCAAGAGATACTGACTTAGGGCTGAAATGACATTCCCACTTCCAGAGAGAAAACTGTTAGGAACAGGAAGAGTTGGACTGAGAACTTACATAAGTTTTCCCCTACAGAACTCACAGAAGTTATGGAGTGAAGGTCTAGATTTCAGTGCTAACTATACCAGAATGATCTCCACTAGCCACTTGCAGCTGTTGAAATCTGGTGACAGAGTACCTATTTTATTTATTTATTTTTTTGCAAGTGGAGAGTGCTGTTTAGTTTGTTACAGAGCTTGAACTCAGGGCCTTGGCGCTGTCCCTGGGCCATTTTGCTCTAGGCACTCTACCACTTGAGATACAGCTCCACTTCCTGCTGTCAATGGTTAACTGAGATAAGAGTTTCACAGATTTTCCTGTCCAGGCTGGCTTCAAATTGTGATCCTCAGATCTCAGGCTTCAAAGGAGCTAGATTACAGGCATGAGCTACCAGCACCCAGCTAAGGATCTACCTTTTAAATATTTTATGTATGCATGTATGCACACATATGTGCACACACATGCCAGTCCTGGGGCTTGAACTCAGACCTAGGCGCAAGTCCTTAACTTTTTCTGCTGTGTTCCTACCACTTGAGCTACACCTCCACTTCTAGCTTTTTGCTATTTAATTGGAGATAAGCGTTGGTGGCTCATGCCTCTAAATCCTAGCTACTAAGGAGGCTGAGATCTGAGGATTGTGGTTTGAAGCCAGCTGGGGCAGGAAAGGCTATGAGACTCATCTCCAATTAGCCATCAGGAAAAAAACAAACAGAAATTGGAGTGGCACTGGGATTCAAGGTGGTAGAACACTAGCCTTGAGCAAAAAAGGACAACACCCAGGTCTTGAGTTCAAGCCCCACAACTGACCCCCCAAAAAAAAAGTCTCATACTTTTCTGTTTGGGCTGGCTTTGAACTACAATCTTCAGATCAGCATTTTTTTTTTTTTTTTTGTCGGTTGTAGGGCTTGAACTCTGGCCCTGGCGCTGTCCCTCAGCTCTTCAGCTCAAGGCTAGTGCTCTACCACTTGAGCCATAGCGCCACTTCCAGTTTTCTGAGTGGTGTATTGGAGATAAGAGTCTCATGGACTTTCCTGCCCAGGCTGGCTTTGAACCATGATTCTCAGATCTCAGCCTCCTGAGAACCTAGGATTACAGGCGTGAGCCACTGGTGCCCAGCTAGATCTCAGCTTCTTGAGGAGATAAGATTATAGGTGTGAGCTTTGATTGTCATTGTTTAAATAATCACCAGTGGCTTATAGCTAGAGTGTTGGGCAGTACAGATGTACAGAGGGAATATAGTGAATGGATGGGTGAATTGGGGCAGGATGTACACAACACCTGTTGCATCCTGTATGTCTTGGGAAAGAAGAAGATTAGGAGCAAAGTACAGAATAAAATTGCTTATATATATGTGTGTGTATATGTCTATATACATATGTATATGTATATATTCTAAGACCAAAGTTGGCACTTTGCCTGGGATGGAGAATTGGGGGCACATGTGTCCTCTTCTTTTACCCTAAAAGACTTGCTTCTGAGTGTCAGAAGAAACAGAACAGCTCCCAGGGCAGAATGATCTCCAGTGTTTTCCTTGTCTGCTGCCCTCTACCCCCAGCTAAGGAACAGTATACAGACGCTGGACCATGCATTCCTTCACTCTTCCATACATCCATTTCAGAAGGCTGATTAAACCTCTTCCAGGTGTCATACATGAGGGAATCTAGAAGTAAACAACAGCTTATAGAACTTAGGTGCCAAAAGGAAACCCAAAGTAAGATACAGTGGTATGAGGCTGAGTGCTAGTGGCTCTAGCCTGTAATCTTAGCTACTTGGGAGGCTGA